CTCAGGATGAGGAGCCTGTATGCAGAAGGGTCAGCCATTCTGGGGGGGGGGGTGAATTCACATGGAGGCTTAAGGACTGTTCCAGAGGAAACAGGGATGGACAGAGGGAATGACAAATTTCTTGCTGCCAAAACTCGGGACATGTGTCTTGGTGAGACAGAGACCATGCAGAACGCCAGCACACCATGGGGCTAGGGTTGGGATGACAGCAGACAGGGCCTGGGGTGATGGTGAGACGGGTTGGGGTGGTGGAACTGGGGTGATGGTAGGTGGGGTGGGCACAGGATGAAGGAGATGAGGATGAGATGATGGAGATGAATTATGAGGGTAGGACTGAGATGGGATGATGTGGACAGCATTGGGGTGACCACAGACAGGGCTGGGGTTACTGAGAAAGGAGGCGGGGTGGTGGAGGTGAGGTTGAGATGATGGAAGGTGGGGTTGGCATGGTATAAAGGAGACGAGGCCGGGATGACGGAGATGGAGCTGAGGTGATTATGAAGGTTGGAATGGGATGGTGTGGGCAGTGCTGGGGTGATGGCAGGCACAGGGTTAGGGTTATGGTGAGTGGAACTAGGATGCTGAGGGTGGGATTAAGATGATGGAAATAGAATTGAGATGACAGTAGGAGGCACTGGGGTGATAATCGACCGTATTAGAGAAATGATAGGCAAAGACCACAGAATTATATTATCCCAGGCGTGGATCTGGAGCAGTAGGGTGGAATTCCACTATGGGGGGCCCACCATAGCCCTGGAGAGAGTTTCAGGCTCCTCTGAGCCAGGCCCACCTCACTCAACACTGGGAGCCTATTCTATAACACAGGGAAATCACAATACCAAATCTACAGAGAGGGCAAAGGCTGGATGCCACCAGCCTTCATTCATTCAACAAACATTTCTCCAGTGTTGGTTGGAATCTATCACTAGTTTACTTAGGATCATTACAACTGTCAAACACAAAATAAATGGTAGATATGTTCACTTTCACCAAGAATACCTTGTGGCAGCTGTCAACACTTAACAACTACAACCTTATTTAAGTTTTAAGTCACTTTTTCATTTTATTACACAAAGCACACAAGCCCAGCTTTACACTTTTTTTTTGAGGAGGAGGAGGAGAGAGAAATGGTGCAAATACATGTATTACACATTTGCAATGTAGTGGCATCGGTGATGACAATCATGCTGCACCATCACTGCCCATGTCCACTGGCGAACATTAATATCACCGTCACCATTAAGAAATGCTGTCGGCCTTGAGAAGGTGAAGCACCTAAGATTGGGTTTGAACTTGTCAGCCCAGGATTTTGACAGCTGGTACCACTCAGAGCTTCCTAATAAAGCTTCAGTGAGGCTTAAACAGTGACGCTCGGTCCCCTCCCTCCAACCCGCTGTTGTAAATGATTATTATCAAGTTGATTGTGACTCCCAGCAACCCCATGTCACCAAGTATAAAAGCTGACAGGGTTCTCTCTAGGTTGTAATCTTGACGGGAACAGATTCTCCAAGACTTTCTCCTGTGGAGCCACTAAGTAGATTCAAACATCAGCTTTTCACTTAAGGGCCGAATGCTTAACTTCTGTGCCACCAGGGTTCCTTTTCTTAGCCCTGAGCCACCGAGCTGACTACAGCCCACAGTGACCCTGTGAAGAACAAATCTGAAGGCTGCCGTGGCCTGCGCCATCCTCAACAATCCCTGATACGCCCAAGCCACTGTTTTAGTCACTGTGTCAGTGCACTTTGTGCAGGATCTTCAGCCTTTTCTTTGATCCTCTACCTTTCTTGTTCTTGTTGTTGTTAAGTGCCGTCAAGTTGCAAGCGACTCGTAGCGACCCTATGAAGGAGAGTCCTCAACGCTTGTGTGTCTTTCATCCTCTCTCCAGGTTCATAGAGTTTCCTGAGGCAAGCTATTATGGAAGTGGATGCCACTACTGCTTCCAAGCTTGTTTTAATTGGGGAGAGCCACCAAACACTGTCCACACTGGGTAACCAACCATTAATGCATTTGACACATCAATGTCACAATGTTCAGCTTCACAGCAACCACAAGTTACCGCTGAACAGCAAGTGGACACACTAGGGCTATACGACCTAGAGGAATGTTTGAGCCACCTCTTGTCCTTGTAACCACTAGTAAAACCTTGGTCTCTAAACATTTGCAGAAGCCTAGTCTCCATCACCATTATTCCCCCATTTTTGCGAGCAAAGGTTGAATGACTGACCTGTACCAAGCCAAAGACCAGCAGTTGCTGAATGAGTGAGTAGTCAGCAGTGACCGCCTCATAGTCATCCACGGTGGGAACCTCACTGAGACACAAACTCCCCCAAGAAACTAACTCACGCATCCCTATTCCTCTCCATTCTCAGCCTTTCTCTTCTAATGCTTTTCTAACATCCAAACTTGTAAGAAATGACTGAATTGGCATCTTTGTATTTCATCTAGCTTCTCATCTTCAGTGCCCTCCACCACTGTTGAAACACTGATATTTCCAAGGTAGAAATAATGATGAATCAGGGAGAAAGAGTAAAGGAAATTGGCTAATCCTCAAGACACAATAGGAGCTAAGTAACAGAGCTGGCTCTGACTGGCTCTTGGCATCCAATGACCAGCAAACAGAACCCTAGACTCTCAGGGAATGCTCTTGTGAGAAGCACAGCCCAGCTCAGCTCCCCTCGCTGGGGGATATTTACTCTTCTGCCGGCTTATTATGCGTCTCAGTGGACTCAGCCTGGAGACTGAATTTCCTGCCCCGAATGCACACACAGGTATCACCAGACATCTGCTGGCCACCGAGAGCGCGGAGATAAGAGAGCTCATTCTCCCTGTGTGTCTAGCGATATCCCTCTCTGATAACATCTAATGAAATGTCACTTCTTGGGGCACCAGCCAACTCATTATGACAGGTCTTAAGGACTGTAGCTTAATGAAATCTACCCTTCATATGAGGTCTCAATAAACGATCAGGAATACGGCATCCGAAGCCATCCACCTGTTGAGCAAGCTCTGCTGTTAATAAACCCAGCAGGTCCAGAACAATCCAGAAGATTCTGATCAGCAGCAGGCTGGACAAGCAAAGAAGGAAAACTAAAAACTCCACTGACTTGAGTTGATCCCGAGTCACAGTGACCCCGTGTATCACAGATCAGTGAATTTTCCTAGCTGGAATCTTCAAGTGAGCCCTGGTGGTGCAGCAATTAAGCACTCAGATGCTAACTGAAAGGCTGACCATTAGAACACAGCTGGTGAACCGTCCTTGTAAAGACAACAGACACTGGGGCACTTCTACTTTGTCACATGAAGTTGAATAGAGTTGGAATCAGCATGAAGGTAGCTACCAACAGCAATCTATACAGGAAATCACCAGGACTTTGTTCTGCAGCACTGTTAGGTGGATTTGAACCACCAACCTTCAGGTGAATATGTGAAGTGAATGCACCCTGTGGGCACCAACTAAGGACCTCCTGTGAGCTGGAAATTGGATAAAAAAAATCCTGAGGCGGCTGTTGGATAGGTAAGGAAACCACGAGATAGATGGGCTGGGAGACAATCAACTAGGTGGGGAGACCATCAGATCTGTGAGGAGACCATCAGATAGGCGGGGAGACCATCAGACAAGTGGGGCGAGTGTCAGATCTGTGAGGAGACCATCAGACAAGAATGGAGACCATCAGACAGGCAGGGAGAGTGTCAGATAGGTGGGGAGAGCGTCAGGTGGGGAAACTCTCTATGACAGAAATGACCCAGGTGTGCAGTCAGGCTGTGAACTAGCCTGACTAGCTGGAAGAAGGGGTCAGTACATAAGGCAGGAGGACTGGTCACTCCCATTGTGGTCATCAAAAGACTCACTGCAGTCCAAGCCCCTGTCACTATAAACCTGCCTGACCTGCACATGGGATGTTTTCTTTGTGAACATCAGAAGTTAATGAGATTATACAGAATAGGATGGGTCATCTAATCACATCCCCCAGGCACTCCGAGGAAGACAGGCAGGCAGTCTGCTTCCACAAGGATTTACAGCCCCAAGAGCCTGGTGGAGGGTCACTGTCAGTCAAAATTAACCGGACAGAAGACAGTGGGCTCGGCTTTGATTAACTGAAAGGTCATCTGTTCCAATTCACCTGCTCCTTGGGAGAAAGAGGAGGCCCTCTGCTTCTGTAGAGGTGACAGCCTTGGAAAACCCATGGGGCCCATCAGCTTGGTCCTTGCTCACTTGACACCACATGGAGCAAACCCTCCCCCACCCCGATAACAGACATGACCTGAAATGACTCTTTCGCAGCCTCACCCTGGCCCACCGAGTGGGTGCACCACCATTTACCCCCTGGAGCACCAACATTCTTAAATTCAATAACACCACCACACAGACCACAAACTGCCAGAACACACACTTGGAAGAGGTGCATCTGCACCTCCCGAGAAATGTGGATGGAGAGACTTCATCTCAGCTGCTTTGGGGCATGTGGTCAGGCCGTTAGTCTGAAGTTACCACGTTGATAAACTAGAGAGTTAGGGAAGACGAGGAAGTCCCTCCAGGGGTTAGAGTGACACAGGAACCGGAACAAAGTGCACAGCAGTGATGGTGAGGTGGGGCAGGGCCCCCGAGGTTTAGATGTGTTGTTCTTGGGGTCACTAGGTCATTCTGCCTCACTCAGTCTCCAGCCACACTATGTCCTGCCCCCACAGAGCCTTCTGCTTGAGCGCTGCCAGAACCCCGGGCACACTCCCTGCAGCGCCAAGCCGACTGGGGTGAAGCCATCAGCTCGTCCCTCTCCGGAGCGCGTGGGTGGGCCGCTCTCTCTCCAGCAACCGCCCAGCCTCCAGCGTTGCACGCTCCCATCTGTGAGCTCAGGACCGGAACACGGGTAGTTGCGGGAGGACTCAAAGGGACGCGGGGACCCAAAGGCGAATCTGGGCGCTGTCTGCAAGGAATACGGGGCCCCCTGTGTGCGCAGCCACCCTCCTGCCCTGGCCCACGCATCCCAGTGGTTCTCTCTCACCTTCTGCAGAAGCTCGATTTCCTGCTGCTTCGCGGTGAGAACGGCCAGGGCGTGCTCATGCTCCACCTCCAGCTGCTGCCGCCGTTCCGCGGCCTCTCGCATGTGCTGTGGGGACAGGAGGGGACAGGCTCCGCTCAGCGCTGCGTCGGGAGCGGGAGCCGCCAGCCGCGCCTCTGACTCAGCCGGGGGCGGAGGACCACACGCCGCAGCCGCCCCTCCGGCTCGGCGCCTCCCAGCAGACAGAGCCCGGCCAGGCTGCCTGAGCCCCCAACCCCGCTCTGAGCGAGACCCTGCTGCCCAGAGAGCCCACCCCTGCGGGCGTGCACCCCAACCAGCGCTAGGGTGGAGCGGGGTCTCATGCAGGAGTCACTTTGTTTTTTTCCTCCCTTAGAAAAGAAGATCTCTCACATCTCTGTACGGCAGGTCCTTAACGGACATCCAAACCCCAACCCCCAAAGCCCACAGCCATCCAGCAGATACTGATAGACAATGCCTCCATGCTCCTCGCGGGACAGAGGGCTGCTGTCCCCCGGGCTTTTGCAAGCTATGAGCCTGGGGAAGCAGACCGCTTCCTCTTTCTCCCTCAGAGCAAAATCACTGACCGACCTCTGTACCATCAGGACTCTTGACAAATGACCTTGATCTTTCCCTACATATCAAAGACTTGGCTCTTATTTAAGTCATGTTTTACCTACATCAGAGGGATTCCAGTGACTGGCCTTTCCCCAGACCTTTCTTCTGAGGTGGCACTGAGCAGGCCAGAACCTCTAATCTTCGTGGTAGACATTTGTGCCACCTCAGGGTCTACTGATGAACATTAGCAGTGCCAGTCTGTGAGGTCCAGTGACCAGAAGGGGGACACGCATGGCTGGGACGGGCTGTCACACAGTTCCAGCTGCTAGGACACTCTCCAGGGCCTGCAGATGCCCGAGAGCCTGGCCACTACTGCTGGCATCAGTGTCACCTGGGCTTGAACTTGGTGATGTGTTTATTTTATACATTATACAACAGCAAAGATATCAAAATGATATTGTTATAGATGTTAGCCAACATATTACATAGAGCATTACAGAATTTATATACAGATGATGTCATTTATATAAACGGAGGCCTCATGGTACAGTGGTTATGTCCTTGGTTGCTAACTGAAAGGCTGACAGTTCGAACTTGCCAGCTGCTCCTGAGGAGGAAGAGAAGGCCGCCCCCAATGAGTGACAACTTTGGGACCCTGGTGCAGCAGCCCCCTCTGCCTACACAGTCACTGTGCATTAGCATCAGCTTGAATGTAGCAGGCTCTGTTTCTGGCATATAGACACGTGTGTGTTACCTTTTTTAATATTTCTGGTGGCCTTTCTACAGGGAGTTGCGCAGCTAATCCAAACACCCTGCCTCTCTGGTAGTTCAAATCCATTAGCAGCTACTCTGGAGAATGATGGGAAATCTTGCACGCAATTTACAGTCTCAGAACCCAGTGAAAGGCCAGCTCTGAGTCAATTCCAGTTCAATGGTCATGACTTGTTTGTTTTTAGACCATGTGTTGGTTGTGGTTCCTTTCGTGTTGCTGTGATGCCTGAATCTATGTCACTAATATTTCAAATTCCAAAAAGTCATCTGGGGTGGATCAGTTTCAATGGAGCTTCCCAGACTAAGACTAGGAAGAAAGGTCTGGCAATCTACTTCTGAAGCATCAGTCAGCAAAAGCCTATGAAACACAGAATACTGTCCCAGACCAGCTTGCTTACTCTGCACACATCACTAATCAGCTGACAGAGAAAGAACAGGGTGGTAAGTTTAATGGAGAGTCAGTACGCACGAGGGACACTGTTTATGAGATGTGACACAGTGACCATAGCAATGGCTTAGACACACTGACAAACAGGGATGGTGTAGCATTAGGCAATGTTTCACCTGTCACACTTCAGGTCATCATGCACTAAGGCCAACTCAACAACTAATGACGTGTGTACGTGTATACATATTTATGTTAAGTGTATACAGACCTATACATGTGTATCTGAACATGCATGTGTATACATCTGTGTGTGCATGTGGACACAGTGCATATATTCTTATGCACATATACCTGCGCATGTGTTCATGCATATCATCACGTAGTCACCTATGAACGTGTCTTTCAGGGGCTTTTGGTAGCAGAGTGGTTTAGCATTCGCCTAGTAAGACAAAGGTTGCTTGTTAGAATCCACCAGTTGTTCCACGGGAGAAAGATGTGGCAGTCTGTTTCCATAAAGATTACAGCCTTGGAAATTCAAGGGGCTGTTTTTTTACTTTTCTGTTCTGTTCTGGAGGGTCACGCTGAGCCACAACTGATTCGACAGCCGTGTGTTTCAGTGTGGTTTGTGTATGTGTACTGCTATCCCTCGTGCCAGTCTGTGATTCTGACTCACGGCATACCCAGTGGACTGAGCAGAACTGCCTCTCGGGGTGTCCAAAGCTGTGCAAACAGACTGCACATCTTTCTCCTGTGCAACAACTGCACAGTTTAAACCACCAACCTCTGTTAGCAGTCAACTCCTTTAACCAGTGCACCCTGCTTCTTGCTCCTATGTGCCATTGAGTTGTCGGTGACTCATAGTGGCCCGGTGTACATTAGCTCAGAACCCTGCCCTACCCTGAGCCAATCTCATTGTCTCCAACAGACCTAATCCCATTTCTCCAGTCACTGAATCAACCCATCTCCTCCAGGGTCTTCCTCTCCTGGGCTGTCCCTCAGCACTTCAAGGACTAGTCCCTCCTGGCCACATGCCCAAAGTATGAGAGACAGAGCTTAAAAATCCTCGCCTCCAGGGAGCAGCTTGGTTTCACCCTCTCCAGGCCAGACTATTTGTTCTCCTGGCAGTATGTTCAACACTCTTCTCCAGCACCACACTCAAAGACATAGATCGTTCTTCTGTCATCGAGCTCTCTGATGCATAGTGAGTAACTGTGAAGACCATGGCATGAGCAATGATGGATCTTAAAGTGTATGAGGTCCAATAATTGCATCTCCCCAGGCAGAGCAAAGAACTGGGATGGTTATCAAAGATGTATGGAGAGAAACAGTACAGAGGTTGGAGAGACCACATGAAAGTTAAGAGTCAGATTCCATGGTCTTCAGACCAGAAGAACTTAGATGGTGCCTGATTACCATTACCAACCCCTCTGACTGGGATAAGAATAGAAAGTCCTGGAAAGAGAGGCAGGAAAAGGGTAACGAAGCTCAAAATTACAAGAAAGATCAGGCTTACTGAGATTATGGCCCTAAGGGCAAGCCTGGAACTCAATTTACCCTCATGTCTCAGCTTCCAGTCAAACAACAGACAGGCCTATAAGGTGACCAGTGACACCAGAGATGATTGCACTCCTTAGAACAATCAACCAGCCGAGAGCAAAGGGCAGCATTCAACCAGGCAAAGCTCAGAAGGCAGGAAGGGAAAGGAAAGAAGGATGAATGGAAACAGGACACAAAGAGAAGGAGTGGGAGAAGTGCTGTTTCATGGAGGGGACTGCAAAGAATGTCACGGAACAAAACGTATATGACTTGTGAATGGAAAGTCTATTTGTTCTGTCAATATTCACCCAAATCACAATAAGAAGTTAAAGAAAAATAGGCTGACTAGTCAAAAGGCTGGCCATTCAAGTCTACTCTGAGGCACCTCAGAAAAAAAGACCTGGCAATTCACTGCGAGAATAATCAGCCACTGAAAACCGTAAGGAACACATTCAACTCTGACACACACGAGGCTTAAATAAGTCAGAGTCCACCCAGCAGCAAGTGACTCGACGGCACATACCACCATCCAACCACCACCCAACAACAGCTTGTTTGGGGGACACCAGGTGTCATGCCAAGCCCACACACCCAGTAGTTTAAGCTAAGGTGGGTTCTGGGTCACTGTCCTACAAACAGGGCATCAGGTTCGGTCACTGAGGCCCCCTGCTCCTGGCCACACCACTGGAAAGGAGCAGGGACTGGGCACCATCTGGTCAATGGATGAGGTAACTTGCAAATGACCCTCACCCTGAGCTACCACGAGGGGCAGATGAGAGGTTTAGACTCCAATTAGCCAACCTGGCTTGGACGAACAATTCAGCAGCTGCTTAATTATACTATTGTTCAGGCTAATTCTTGTACTTCTGTTTATTTTGGAAGTGGGCACTGCCAAACACAGCCTGTGTAATCTTTATTTAGTGTTGGGAAGGAAGTTATTAGCAGAAGGAGGAGACCATCTTCCTTAAAGGATTCATTTGGAATGGGACCCAAATTCACAAATGGTACCACTGAGCTGTGGTGAGCTTGGGGTGCTCATGGAGACAGAAGTCAGATACCTCCATGGGCACTATTATGGATTGAATTATGTCCCCCAAAATATGTTTTTGCATGGCCATGATGCTCAGAGTTTGTGCTGCAATGATGTAACTAACGTGACAGTCATGTAATGATCCCCGTGACCTGATAAGGCAATCAGTTGTACCAGGATTAATGGAGGGCTATAGACAGCTCTGGTGACCCAGTGGTAAGAAGCTGTGAGGCAGTCCTGAAGGTTTGAATCCTGATGGTTTGAACCATCAGCTTCTCCATGGGAGAAAGATGGGCAATCTCTCCCATGCTATTAATGCCTCTGAAAATGGAGTGGAGGGTCAGCTATGGGTCGGTTCCAACTTGACAGACACGACAACAAGAACAATCCTATAAGAGCCCTAACTTGATTTAAGGAGTTTTCTTGGGATGTGGTCTTTTGTATTATAAAAAACAAAAGGAGAGAAGTGGGCAGACGGCAGCCACTGAGGAAGAAGAGCCAGGAGCGAAGCGTACCTTCCAGACCCAAGTTCCTGCGCTGACAACCTCCCAGATCCAGAAGACTCAAGTCAAGACAAATGGAGATCTCCAAGGAGCAGCCCTGGGATGCTGAAAGGAAACAAGAACCTTCCTCCTAATCTGTGAGAAGACCCTCCTCAGAGCCAGCACCCTGAATTCAAACTTCTGGCCTCCTAAACCATGAGAGAATAGATCTGTTTGTTAAAGCCATCCACTGTGGTTTTCTGCCACAGCACTAAAGAGCTACTGTCTATCATCATCTCTTCTAACTCTGCCTCATCATCTGCTT